TATAAAAGTCTYCTTAAAGTTAATCCTATATTTYTATAAAAAACCCCTTACTATAAGTCTTGCTTTTAACTTATTAAGGGTACTACTTGCTAATCTTTTTATAGTAAAGACCTATTTTAAGGTTATAAGGTTTAATCCTTTTAGAGTAATAGTTAGTTCCTAAGTCTAGTTGCTTATAAGTAAATCTAGTTCCTTTTAGATTGCTTCTATCTATATTACTCCCTATTCTTTATCTCCTACTACTTCCTTATAAGTAGCTAGAACTAGGATATTCTGCTAGTATATAGTTTAGGTAGCTATTATAGAGAAAGCAAGTTTATAGAAGATATCTTATATTTCTAGGTCCTAGCCTAGTTTAGAGATTATAGCTAATAGGGCCTATATAATCTCTATTACTTCTCTATTAGGATTCTAATCCTTTAGCCTCTCTTAGCTTATCTCCTAAAGGACTTTTAGTCCTTTAGATTTAGCTTTAAATCCTTCTATATTACTTATAGCTTTTCTCTTTCTTTACTYTACCTAAGGTRGAGAATTAACTTAGTCCTTAATTTTCTAGAATTCCCCTAYATTTGCTAGGGGAGGAGGAATCTAAATAAATGCTATAGGGGCTAACTTTTTAGTTATAGGTTCCTAGATTAGAATAGGTTTAGGTCTTAGTATATTAGCTAGCCTTCTAAGTGGTTTTCTCTATAGTGCATTTAAGGAAAGATGCTTAAATTAAAACTTTAAATTTAAATTACCCCCCCTCTTTTCCTTAAAGAATACTACATTTAAGTGCTGTTTTATAGCTCTTATATCTAGATCCTAGAAAAGCTAGGATTTTAATGTTCCTTTAATATATCCTATAAATACTATATCCTTTCCTCTATTTATAAGTTTATTACTCCTTACCTATCTAGGTTAGGATTTTAGGTCTATATATATAATAGCTTAGCACCCCTAAACTCTTAGATAATATATAGTCGGCTTTATTCCTATAAATGCTTCTTTAGGTAATAGCTTAAAGCCCTTAACTTTAGGACTATTTAGCAGCCTATTCCTTATTTTAAACTAGGCTACTAGGGCTTTAGGCTAAAATTTAATTAGCATTCCTAATTCTTTAATTATTGCCCTTACTAYATCTTCTAATATTTAGATAGATCTTTCTACAACTCTATTCTAAATAGAGTTATATATATCTGTTATATTAAAGTAGATTCCTAAATCCTTCTCCTACTATTTTAGTAGACTAGTAAGTTTAGATGCATTATCTAATCTTATTATCTTTAATTTTAAAGATGTTTTTCTTTTAGCTTTTAGCTTCTAGATTTTTAGAGTAGCTAGGGTATCCTCTCTACTAATAAGTAGGTATCYCTATTTCTTYCTTAAGAAGTTATTAATAAYTTCTAGCTAGTATTAATATCCTAATCTRGACTTTAGGAGAGGGCTATAGATRTYTAGGRATATAAGCTTAAGTACCTAAGGTYTTCTCTTAGTAACTTTTCCTTTATATTTCTTTATCTTTATAAGAGYATAGACTCTRYACTTTTCCTTATAGTCTTYTAGGAGTTAGATTAGATCCTTTAAGTYTATTACTTTATAGAYATTCTTAAGAAGATTCTTRYTAAAATAGCTAAATCTTCTATRCTAAAGCTCYTACTAATTTAGTAACTCTCTTAYAGTAAATCCTATTTCCTTACTTTCTTCCTTTTCTTCTTTTACTAATAAAATAAGAGCYCTCTYCTARAGGGACTCTAAAACTTCTAAAATAAATAGAATACTATTCTAGATTCTAGTCTAGATAATAGGAGTTCTATCCTATAATACTAGAGTAAACTAGGGTAGTTAAA